CCTCAGTCTCTGGGAGGGGGCCTATGTCTTCCCGAGGGGCTGTACAGCACCAGCTATGTACCCAGGATAGACTTAGACAAGCTTTTGAATGCAAGATGTTCTTCTTCTGTCCTGGGAAGAAACAGGAGGGTAAGAGAAACGTCGTAGCCGGGATGGTCCAGGCATGAACGATGCGCGCCTCCTGAGGCTGGGGAGGGCATGGTGACTGCTCACAGGCAGCGGTGGTGGTGTCAGTGGCGGGGGTATGTCGGTGGTGAGTGGAGATCGCCGACAGGCGGCCACAGCGGTGTCAGCGGCGGCGGGGGGGGGTGAGTGACGACTGCCCGCAGGCGGTGGTGGCGGTGTCGGCAGTGAGGGAGGGGTGACAAGCAGAGAGTGCCTGCAGGCGGCGACACAGGCATCGGCAGCAGCCAATTTTCAGGGGGGGTGTGGCACGTGCCCTCCTGTGCTCTCCCTCCATGTCACCTGTAGGTCCAGGGGATCTTGTCCTGACCAGGACAACTAGGAGCTATCCCAGTAAAAATAAATAAGAAAAAAAAACACCCTAATTGCTCCTTTCCCCATGTGCCTCAGTTTCCCTGTCTGTAAAATGGGGCTAGTGACACCGAGCTTCTTTGGAAAGGGCTCGGAGATCAGCGCATGAAAAGCGCCGTGCCAGAAGGCAGCGCTGGGATTCGCCTGCCTGGCGGCATAATGGGACTACGTCCATCCAGTCCCCATCTCCACAGCCTTATTGCAGACTGCTCTTTGCCGCAGTGAGCGCAGGGGCCCAGCCTGAAGAAGAGTCCCACCTCACCCAGGGGAACACCTATCTCAGCGCATGCGCAGGAGGCAAGACCGGCCAGCTCACCACCTCTACTGCGCAAGCGCAACGGAGTAAAGCCGAACAAGCCCCCACGGAGCCAAACTGCGCACGCGCACCGTCTCTCAGCCCGTCGAGCTCCCCCTCCCGCGCTTTTGGGGCGTGCAGCCCCTCCGCTCCCCCGCTGCGCATGCGCACAGCCGGCCGGCGGCCGGGCCCCGCCCCCTCCCCTGTCACTAGGGCGCCCCCAGCCGCACTTCCCGTCCCGTCCCTTCCCCGGTATGAGGCCCCGGTGCGGCCGGCCGCTGTGACAGGAGGTGAGTGCGGGCTCTGGGCTTGCCCCCGCCCGCCTAGGGGTCCCCGCGGCTCCAGGGGTCTGGGGTGGAAGCGAAGGGCCTCGCGGTTGTGTGGAGATAATCCCCAGGTCCCCCGTCCCCCCCGAGGGGCCTGTGGCTGGGGTCGCCCCTCGGGGCCGCCGCCCTGGTAGCGTGAGAGCCCTGCGGGAGCTGGGGCGATGCACGAGGCCGGGGTTTCTTAGGGCGACCCCTTTTATTGGGCCAGCGATGAACCAGCTTTCGGATGCGAGACGTCCGTCCTCCGACCTGGGCGGGTGGGAGCGGTGTTGTAGTGGGGCTGGACCACGAGTGATGCGAGGGCAAGGCTTTCTTAGGACGGGACCTTTTATTGCACCAAGTAGTTGGGAGAGTTAGACCAGCTTTTTTCATAGATGTAAGGGGCTGGAAGGGACCTGATAGACCATCGGGTCCAGCGCCCCCTCCCCGCGCACTTGGGCAGGAAACATAAGTGGGGTCCGATGAGCCCAGCGAGGTGGGCGTCAAGATTTTCACATGTCTTGTACTTGAAATCTTGCCTAACTCTATCCCAGTTGCGTAGTAGGTCCAGTAAAAGAGATCGCTCTAAAAAGTCTCTGCCCCTGGGAAGAAACTGATTTGTTCCAGGAAGAAATGACCCCGTTTTGGTCCAGGGATAAGGTTTCCTAGGTTAGGGCAGATCGAGTCAGTGGCTTATGTCACGTCACGTGTTTGCCACACAGGTTTTCTCGGGGAAGCTGCAGTGCTTCCAGGGTTATCCTGTTCGTGCATCCGTGGCCCTGTGCCAGGCTTCGAGCTTTTTTTCCTCCCTCCTTAGTTCAGCGTCGTTGGTCCTGTTGGCTAGCTTGGCCGAAGCTGATGGGAAGTTGCTGAAGTAAGCTGTGAAAGGATGTTAATCTTAGTGAGAAATGGCTTTCTTAGAATAACTTAATTTTATTTTTATGTCTTTTAATCTGGCTGGCAGCCAGTATTTTCATCCAGGAGTACTGATGCCACTATTTTTCGTTAGATTTAATTTTCATTCAAGAAGGAGCTTGGTAAAACACCATTCATTGGTGGAATAAGCTGGCATAGTGCCATCGAAGTTGGTCCTTTCTATTTCTGCAATAAATATGTCTGTTTTCTCATATCCGTGTACCCACAATTTCTCTATGATATAGCTTCGTATCACTAGACTGACAGGTTGATCTCACTGGGTTTTGTAGTACTGCAACTTTCATGTTTGTAATTGGTGAGGAAATGTTAACTTTTATTCAGATGTTTTCAGAGAAAAAAAACCAAATATTGTTACAATGCATATTGTAAACACTGAGTTGTTACCCTTCATTAGAAAATAGAATTCAGGGTTAATTAATTATCCATTAAGCACTCAAAAGTGACATTGGAGATTGCAAGAATTTACTACAATCCTTGAGTGTTAGGGATTTACACAGTGGAAACGGACTAAATTGTGCAGTGTCCTTTTTTTTATATTTAGTATTGTGAGTCAGTATTCATAAGATTTCTTGCATTACTGCTGAGAATCATTTTTTGAATGGGCTACTCTGAAATGTTCCACCGGTGTGTTGCTAAAATGGTAGACTGAGAATATACTAATTTACTGTTCACATTGGAAGCTTTTAAAACGATATATTTAGACAGAAAATGCTATGAAGTGGCTCAGATTCTGCATTTGTGGCAAGCAAACTTGCGTACTACACTCTAAAACCCCAGCCCCCTCAAAAATCCTCTTAGGAGGACTATTTGTAGCACTTCTAGTATTGTATTGTAGGGATCTAAAAAAGAAAACTTAGCTGCAAGAAAAAACAGTTGGATAGTATACATGCAATTAAACAGCTCAGCAGAAATGTTTCTGCTTATTTTAAATATGCCTCTTCCCTTGCAGCATTCATTATCCTGGACACTGAATAGTAGGAGAAGGTGCATGGGGTTCCCTGGGGAAAAGTGACTGTTAATATTCAATATGGCCTTCCATTTGTGCTGTGACACTTTTTTTTTTTTAATTTCTTTTTCAGGTGTGGATTGTTCTTATTAGCTGCAGCCATGGTACAGAAATATCAGTCTCCCGTGCGGGTGTATAAACACCCTTTTGAGTTAATTATGGCTGTAAGTATCCATTCTTACTGTAGTGTCTTATTTGGAGATTATTTTTAATGCTGAAGTACTGTTGGGGCCTCTTTTGATAAGCACTGAACAGAGACCCTCTCATGAAGAATGCATAATGTAAGAAGACAAGCAAAAATTAAGTGGTGGGGGAAAGATAGAAATGCCAAAGCTATATATGTTTTATATAGAAAAACAGTCTTCCTTAAAGCCTTGCCGTAGTTCTTAGGCTTCATAGCAGAGCTGGGTCTGAAGGTGAAAGTGTTGGTCATAGATGGTGTTCCATGTGTAGGCTGTCATGGAAGAAGATTTAAAAATGTTTGTGGGAGAAGCTGATGAAGGAACTGTTCAAATGGCATCTCTTGCACAATGGAGGAGGTAAAGCACTGCAATTGGTGACAAGATAACATAGCAGAGAGCTGTGAAAGGCCTTGAACTGGAGATGAGAAACTTAAATTTGATGTAGTGAAATTCGATAAATATTTGATGAAACATTGATACAGTGGAGGAGGGGATATGGTCAGAACAAAGGAGTTCTATTTTGAATGTGTTGGAAATGGTTTTGCATGTGTATGTTCAGGAAGCCAGAAAAGTACCATATTTACCTTTTTCTGCATTCAGCATGTGGCAGGGCAGGGGGTGGGGAAGCCCCTCAAGTTAGATTTGAGTACAAATGACAGAGGCTATTGTTTCCAAATCCAACCCTGATACCAAGTTTGGAGTTGGAGCTGTAGCCACTGCCTCTTACAGCCCCTGCTCCCTCCCATGTCCTGCTTTTCCTCTTGGCCTCTGTTTACCTTCCCCTTGCAGCTCTGGCTCCTGCTGGAGCTCTGCTTCCTCCAGATGTAAGGAGCATGTGCTGCCTCTGACCCCAGCTTGGCCACATAGTGGCAGGCCGG